ACTCAAAGTACTTCTGTCCATGACGGCTCTGAAGTGCGGCGTTCATCTCGAGAGTCATGTGCACAAGTCTTTTGTAGAGCTGAAGCTGATCCTCCTCGTTGGGAACGTCGGCAATAAACTGCACCGCCTTCTTCATGCTTTTCATGTCGTGCACAATGATTCGAAGGCCCTCCTCCTCCTTTCCCATCCTCGCAAGCAGGAAAACCATCTCCTCCAGGAGCTGGTGTTTTTTGCACAGTGCATATATCTCCTTTAGCTTGGGAAGGTGTGCGGAATTCTCATGCAGGAACGCAAGCAAACCAGACGGCTCGTTCTCAATAAAAAGCGTCGCAAAGAGTTGCGCATGCGTCTCCGACAGCGCGGCGTGCACTGCCTTGTCTCGGGTCTGCAACGCCTTCAGGTATGCCCACAGATAACGACGCTGCGTCCGTTCCAATCGTTGCACGACGGCCGCGGGTGTGAGAAACGATCGCAACAGCAACGCCTCTGTTGCTTCTTCCTGATCCACAACAGCGCTTCTCACGTAAATGTGTTCCAGGAGGAGCTCGATGGTCCTGTCCTCGTTCCTGGCGAACAGCGCAGGCAAGGCCTCCAATGCTTTCGAAAAGAGTTTCTGTTCCCGTATAAGACTGAAGAGCTCATCACTTTGATCCACCCGTAGCAAAACCTCGAATGCCCTGTCATATTGACCACCAAGTTTTAGCAGCAACCCATACGTGTCCCCAAGAGCTTTTTTTTGTTCGTCGGGTACCCCGCCCTCATTGCCCTGCATGTCTCCATCGTTATAGCGCAATTCGGCAGCGTGACTCACCACATCCGGCCGAAACATGCCCTTAAATTTCCGCACAGCTCTTTGAAAGAGCAAGACATTCTTCTCTAGGCACCGAAGTAGCACAAGCTCATAGTACTCTTCGCCAATTCTGGTGACCTTCTCCTGACCATCTTCCGTGTCACCTTTTATCTCCCTGCTATTCCCGCCCTGAATCGGAAGCACATCAACAAGCAGATCGGACATGCCCTGCTGATCGAACTGACAAATCCACCGTTCCCACTCCAAATAATCCCCCTTCACCACCTCCGCCAACGAAGACGCCACCTCGTCGTACTTCTTCTCTGCAAACAGATGCTGCAGGAGATGATGGCCGACGTCCACAGCTTGATGCTGACGGAGCGGGTGGGTGCGGGCGTAGCTGTAGGCCTCTTTGAAACGACCCATCCTTAGAAGATACTCCACATGCTGGTCGTCGTCGGTGGGTGTCACCTTAATGATGGCATCCACGCAGACAATAAAAAAAACAGATGCCGGCACGGTGTCAGACAACAATGGCATCGAGGAAGGCAACGATTTGGGTGCTACCCTGGATGTCGCCGACACCGACGTCTCCACCGTATAAGAAGAAGCAGCAGCAGGAGCAGGAGTGCTAGCTCCACCAAGAGAAAAGGCTAAACTGTACTGCAAGGGATGCTTGTGTTTTGTATGTAGGCGTCCACGAAATACATTACCAAAAGTGGTACGCTCCACAATACGCACCTCTAGTTCCTTCATATAGCCTTCTTCCTCAAGAGTGCAAGCAAGCACAAGGTATCGGTCAGAACTAAATGGAGCGATACCACATACACGACATGGTTCCGTTGTTGTGTGCGTTCGAACAGCCGGCGTGACTTCCACTCGATGCGTCCTCGACATGAACTCCGTTCCCCATCTCAAC